ACATAAATATCTAATTTACTATCCACATCTTTATATATCTACCCTATGTATATATACATCTTACATAAAATAGGAAGTGCCTACAAAAATGGAAGTAAGTATATATAAGTACAAATATAAATATATATATATATATTTAATATATTTATCATTTAATATATATTAAATGATATTCAATGGAGTATGGGGGAATAAAAAACATAAGAAAAGGAAAATAAGAGGTTCTTAAAATGTCAACGATATTCATGAAGAAGAGAGGACAAAGTCATTTAGTATTTTTGATGTTTATGTAACTAACTAAGTGAAATGTTTTCTATGTCTTGAATGTACATGTATGTACATTTTTGTTAGTTTCTTTTTTTAAAAAAAATATTTTTTAAAGAATATATCATATCAACCATGGCTACACAAAGTATGCCATTCAAAGGAAAAACACCAAATCTCAGAAATGAAGAAAATATATTTACACACACTTTTCAAGGCAGTGTTCTATCATCTGCAACAACTCCCTGAAAACCAGAGAAGAGGGTCCAGGCCCCGAGAACTAGGGTCCCTAACAAGACCAGTTCAAGCCTGGTCTGTAGAAATAGAAAAGCAAATTGTTCTGCAGGCTATCTTTCAAAAAAAGTAATTTTTTTTCCACGTTCTGACTTCTGGAAGGGATGGCCCTGCTATGGTAACAAGCGTACCTCTCCCCTTTTAGTAAATGTTATAGCATCAGTCACGGCAACTGAGCCTCTTTCAAGCACATAGTGTGCCTCCATTGTGCACAACGGAGACGCAGCTGGGTTTATCAGAGAGCTGTCGCCTGACCTCCTTTCTCTCCCCCCGATGCCTTCCTATTCAAAGTCTGCATGTCTCTTTCTGGCTTTACCCTCTTTGGGTTTGCTTTTTATTATCTTGGCAAACAATCAGCCAAAACTACTCAGTACTTAATCTGTCCTGAAAGAGCAAAAAGGTGCAAGAGTGTGTGGGTGCTGTGAAAAGTACCCAAATTCTCTGCCCCTGGTCTTCTCCCACAGAAAGTGGTCTGTAAAGGATATGAGAAGCAACAGGGTGGGACAGAGAGTTTGGGTACTTTTCACAGATTGTGGCCATCTGAAATGCAAATTCACCTCTGCATACAAAGAAGGGAGATCAGCAGCCTGAGAGCAGGCACTACTAGAAAGCTGTGGTTGGAAACTGGTGACGATATGCTGCAATACCACTCCGTTCTGCTTTGGTCAGGCCTCACCTGGAATCCTGTGTCCAGTTCTGGAC